GGGGTTAAAAACAGTCTATTAGGGCGCCTGGGTGGCTCAGTTGGTTAAGCGACTGCCTTCGGCTCAGGTCATGATCCTGGAGTCCCTGGATCGAGTCCCGCATCGGGCTCCCTGCTCGGCGGGGAGTCTGCTTCTCCCTCTGACCCTCCCGACCCTCCCCCCTCTCATGCTCTCTCTCTGTCTCTCTCTCTCAAATAAATAAATAAAATCTTTAAAAAAAAAAACAAAAAACAAAAAAAAAAAACCCAGTCTATTATTCTTTATATTTAATCACCAAAATTTCTCTTTTTCATCTCTGTGCCTTAAATGAAACATGTTCATGTAAAGATTTTAGAATTTCATTTCCAAAGACATTTAGTTAAATATTGCAGTATTGTAAGAAATAGTAATACTTTACTCTTTATGCCAAAAATCCATGTGCTTATAGAAATAAGCATGTACTGTATTAATATGCAAGTTATGTATCAATCAGTTAATCAGCAAAGATTTGTTTGACAGGTATAGGTGAATTATATAAGGGAAGTGGCTTGAAATGAGGTTTTGAAGGATGCCTATGAATTTAAGGTAGATAAGGCTGGGGCTAAGGTAACATCAAGGCAAAGAGAACAAGATTTGTAATGCTACTAAGCTGTCAATAGGATCACATAGTTGGGAAATGAAAGAAATTCAGTGGCTGGAACACAATTTGGAGAAAAGTGGCTGGAGTTGAGTCAATAAAGACCTGCTGGCCCAGGCTGAGAAGGCTGTTTTATATGCCACACAAAGGAGTTTCCATCTTACAGGCAGTGAGGAGCCATTTTAGATTTTTATACTGTAGAGCCAATGTGATTGGATCAGTATTTTAGAATACAGACAGCACTCCCTAAATTTTTTTAATGCTATGAATATACCCCTGCATGTCCTATTTATAACAAAATTTTCATTGAGGGGAGGATATATAGACAATGCCCTAATTACCCTAGGAACTTATATGGTATGTAAACTTTTGTGAGCAGGCTGTTAAATAACTGAAATAATTTCAGGATTTCAGAAGATTAAGAAGTTACTTCTATAAAGTAAAAAAATAATCTGTCTGGCCTCTCCTGGGTACACAGAACTACTTTAAGACCAAACATAATATATATGTTTGCATACTGCACCAGTTTTATATATGGCTTATAAAAACTTTATAAAAACTTGAGATAGACGTTTAGTTATGGACCCTTTGAACACATGTAGATTTTCTTTTCTTAGATATTTAAAAAACAATGTTTAATGTTTAGCATTTTTTTCAATAAAATTAGTGTATTTATTTTGAATGTAAAGAATTTGATTAAAACTATATCTCACTTTAAACATTGATTTAGATATATAATAAAAATAGTTTTCCAGGTAAAGTTGTTTCACATTTATATGGACCTTTATATTTGCCACATTATTTTCATAAAAATGATCTCATTTCATTCTTACAATAATCTCTGTGATATAAATAAAAGAATTCTTTACTCCCTTTTATAGATTTGAAGTCTATATCTCAGATGGATGATCTGAACATACTCTTCCCTGTAGAGGAAAGGGAGTATGCTCTGTGATCAGATAGAATTGCATTCAAATCTCTGCCCTTTTCTTTGTTAACTGTGTGTGCGCTCGGAAAAGTCACTTAATCATTAGGGAACTCAGTTTTCCCAGTCGGAGTTAATTGTACTTGTCCCACAGGAATGTTACGGAAATTTCTTTCTGATAATACATGTGACATGCAAAGCATAGTAAATGGGAAGTGCTGATATGATTATTGTTGCTAATATTAATCATCATCATTAATAAGGGTCCAATACCCATTATTCACATTTTTTTTTTAAGATTTTATTTATTTACTTGACAGAGAGAGACACAGCTAGAGAGGGAACACAAGCAGGGGGAGTGGGAGAGGGAAAAGCAGGCTTCCTGCAGAGCGGGGAGCCCAATGCGGGGCTTGATCCCAGGACCCTGGGATCATAACCTGAGCCGAAGGCAGACGGTTAACGACTGAGCCACCCAGGCGCCCCTATTCACATTTTCAAAACCCCAAAGTTCTAAAAAAAAAAGTTCTGCAAAATTTTTCCCCAAGTTTTGCATAAACTCAATTGAGGCAAAATCATATTTAACATGACATGGGACTATTTATATAGTGTTTACTTTTCTAGTCAGTGTCAATAGTGATAAGATTTTGCTATGAAATATTAACGTGCTCTCTCTACATTCCTCCAGGATTGTTTTGTAATTACAGTAAATGGGACATATTACCTCTCTGTAATCTAAAAACCTTCAAGACACAACTGGCCCAACATTTTAGATAAGACTTATAGATATATATTATTATGATTCTTTTATTTTAATAACCTTATTGAGATGTAATTCACAACCATTAAATTTATTATTTTAAAATGTACAATTCAGTAGTTTTGTAGCATATTCACAAAGTTGTGCAACCATCACCACTACATAGTTTTAGAATATTTTCATAACCTCAAAAAAGAAACCCTGTACCCATTATCAGTCATGCCCCATCTCTTCTGCTCTCACTCCCAGCCTTACATAACTGTTAATCTGTTTTCTGTCTGTATAGATTTTCTCATTCTGGACATTTCATATAAAGAGAACAACAGGAATGATGTATTAATTGGAATTTTGTGACTGGCTTCTTTAACTTAGCATAATGTTTTCAAGGTTCACCCATGGTGTCACATGTATCAATATTTCATTCCTTTTTATGGTGCAATAATATTCCATTGTATGGTTATATCACATTTTATTTATCTATTCATCATGGATTGTTCTACTTTTTGGCTATAAGAATAATGCTGCTATGAACATTCATGTACAAGTTTTTATGTGGACATGTGTTTTCATTTCTCTTGGGTAAATACCTAGGAGTGGAATTGCTGGGTCATACGATTACTCTATGGTTTTGGGAGGAACTGCCAAACTGTTTTGAAGATGGCTGTGCACCATTTTACTTTTCCACCAGCAGTGTATGAAGATTCTAGTTTCTCTACATCCTCACTAACATGTCTTACCTTATTGTCTGTCTAGTGAAGTGGTATCTCATTGTGGTTTTGATTTGAATTTCCCTAGTGACTAATGAAATTTACCATCTTTTCATGTGTTTATTGGCAATTTGTTTTTAGTCTTTGAGGAAATCTCTATTTAAATCCTTTATCTTTCTAAAAATTGGATTATTTGCATTTTTACTGTTGGGTTGTAAGAGTTCTTCATTCTGGGTATAAAATGCATATCAGATATATGATTTGCAAATATTTTCCCCCATTCTGTGGGTTGTCTTTTCACTTTCTTGGTCATCTTTATTCTGATGAAGTCCAATGTGCCTATTTTTTCTTTTGTTGCTTGTATGTTTGGTGTTATATCTAAGAAACTATTGCCTAACCCAAGGTCATGAAGTTTTACTCCTGTTTTCTTCTAAGCATTTTTTAATTTCAGTATTTACCTCTAGGTCTGTGATTCTTTTAAGTTAAATTTTGTGCATGGTAAACAGGACTTTGATGTAGGAAAGATGTTAAGGTTCAGAGCCGACGGCTGAGAAAGAATTCTTGAGATGTCTTTGGTTTTATTAAAGCACAGGGATAGGACCCGTGGGCAGAAATAGCTGCACAGGGGTCATGGGGAGTGGCTGATTATATCCCAGCTTTCAAGTTGGGAGGGGGTTAGGGATAGTGTTAAGTCTCTAAGGAATTTTGGAAGCAAGGTTTCCAGGACCTTGAGGGGACTAGCTATTGTTGGGAAAAGGTCATTTATTATTATCTGTTGGTGGGTCATATGCTTGGGGGATGATTGCCAACATGTATCTAGGTGGGGGGGGTGGGTAGAGATAAAGGAAGTTTCCAAAGAAATTTGTATATGTTAAAGTAGACTTACAGGATCCTGGGGTCAGGCTAAGATTGCCTTTTGCCCTTAGCAAAGTATTAACATCAAGGCAGTTGAGTCCCTAGAGGAATGTCACTGCTTGTTTCAAGGACTTGGCAGTGGGCTGTAGGTAGTAAGGAAATTTAATTTTTCTTTTTGCCTTTGTTTCCTATGTCAGACTTCAATTTTATTCTTTTGCAGCACTATTTTTAAAAGACTATGTTTTCTTATTATCATGCTTGAGCTTGATTATTATCACTATTTAAAAACAGCCTAAAGGTTGCAAGCTATTTTTAATGATATGATTAGAATTAGTGAAACTTGTGTTCTCAAATGCTTGGGGTTAAATTTTGAGTTGGTGTTATTATTATGAGACAGTGGTTTGGAACCATTTAAACTTGATACTCTTATCTATATAAGAGCAATTGCAATATAAAACTAGAGATAAGTTCAGTGCCTGGCACATAATAGGTATTCAGTAAATATTTGCTGAACAAAAATGAATAAATCATATATTATCTGATTGTTTCCTTTGTTACTTTTTAATGGGCATTTAGTTTAGAAAGTAACATATTTAAACAATTATGGTTAAATAAATACAATTATTTTTATAGGTTAACCCTGTATAAATTGCACTAACAGAGAACAAATTCAAATTGGTCTCTTTATATTCATACTCAACTCTAAAATATAGTGAACACATCCCTAACTACTTTTCAGATAATCACTATACAATAAACCATTTGTAAAGTGTGATCTGCAGAAATAATGTTACTATTATTACAGTGGAAAGGGGGTCTTTAATTAAATAAATGTCAGACACATTGGGTCAAGTAAATTTAAATAGGCTTTCCTATTACAGGATTTCTCAGAGCCTTGTTTTTGAAGGTGAGCCTTGTTTTTGAAGGTGTGCCTTGTGAAAAAGGGGCATGGGCATGATAGGCAACATTTTCTGAGTATATTTGAGCAGAGAAACTTAATTCAATTGAATGTATAACAGACTTAGCAAACCAAGAAACACCTCTTGGAAAAAGCTACCGCAGTGATTTTATTTTGTGGGTATTAGGGCACTGGAGGTCATCCATTTATAATGTTTCCATATACTCTACTTTGAATTCCAGTAAGAAAAAGCAACCAAGAGCATTGTTATTGGTATCTGGAATTGAATTTGCCAGGAATGCAAGCACAGCTTCCTCAGTAAAGATCTTGCCTTTGGAAACATCTTACCCCTTGGCAGCTCTCCAGAGTTCAGACTTGGCAGCATCAAGGACACAACACAAGGTGTGTTTATTTGATTTAGCATTTGGCAAAAGGTGTTTTGATTTGTGGTTTGTTTTCTTTCACTTGTTTTTCTTGTTTTGGTTTGTTTGCTTCTGGCAATGGACTTGAGTTTGGAATGTAGTTCTTTCTTATGGAAGACAGTATTACAATGGGGGAATGATTTTACTTATTTTTTTTTTTTTTTGTGTGTGGTATTTGGGCAAATCCAAGTAAATAAAGCAAGATCTATAGAGCTATAAATCTATATCTGATTTATTTTTTAAATCATTTAGTATTATTGTCTATTAGGATTTGTTTCTACTTTAAATACTTGATCTCTCTTGTGTTTGATACACTATGATACTTTGGTACATTGCTATATTTTGGTAGTTATATTTGGATTATAATCAATGTCTCTATATAGTAAGTAATGAACAGATTAAGATCTTCATAAAATGTCATTCAATGTCATTTTTAATCTTTCTTGATTAATTGGTATATCTGCATTCACCCGTTTTGTGGGAAGAGGAAATATGTTATACAATCAAAAATATGGGCCCCCATTATATCTCTGACCTTATCTTTTGCTGTCCTCTTCCACCTCTTCCTCTGCTCAGAATTTTTCAATGGCTGTCTGTTTCACTCAAGATAAAAGCTAAAGCTCTAAAACTGGCCTATATGTCTCTGCAAGAGATGGTTCCTTGTTACTGCTCTAATCTCATCTCTAATCACTTGCTCAGCCATACTGGCTTCTTTGTTGTTCTCTGAACATGCCAGGCATGTTCCCATCTCAGGGTTTTTATACGATTCTCTCTACTGAATTGCTCTTCCCTAGATACCTGCATAGCCCATTTATTTACTTTCCTTTGGGTCTTTATTAAAAGATCACCGTTTAAATGAGATCTAACCTGGTTACCATCCAACTATCCCTGCTCTATATTTTCTACTTAGTATTTATCACTATATAATAAACTATATATTTTATACTTATTTGTCTTGCTTATTGTCATTATCCTTCACAAGAATGTCAGTTCCTATGAGTGCAGGTGTTTTTGTTTGCTCTGGTTTTACTCTGTCTCTAGCAACTAGAGTAGTTCTTGGTCCTTGATGAGTGAATGAATGAATGACCAGTTAATTTAGCAAACATGGTAAGTGTCTCACTTACCATGAGTGAGGCACTATGCTAATTGGTGACCCTACATGTGGTGTCCAAATGGAGTGTCTCTTCATCGGAGCGGGGGGCGATGATTGGGTAGAAGCCATGGCATAGGGGGTGAAAGAATTCACCTGAGGCAAAACAAAGGAAACAGAAGTTTACTGAATATACTGCAAGGGAGAGGTGGGCAGAACAGCAGAGGAGAGGCTTTCTGCAATGAGGTGGTGAGTGGAGGCTGTTTTTAAAGAGGGAAGGTGAGGAAGTATGCCCTCCTATGGAATTCTCTATTTTGGTATCTGTGCCTGATTGTAAGTAGCCCATTGGTCAGTTAGGGCCTATGGGTATTTTGAGGTGGGTCTCCTGATGGGCCTTTCTATATTCCACTGCTCAAGCCTGTTTGCCTAAAAGCTACCTCTGCAATACAGGGATGAAATACACAGTTCCTGCCTTCAGAAGTACTGTTTGAAGGGAGATGGATGCTTATAGCAGCCATCTTACTACAGTGTTGTGTTGTGGTGAGAGTATGAATACAAAGCTATCATCACGTGGAGAAACAGCATTTGAATCAGACTGTGTTGGGCTCATGGAAGGCTTCCTGAGAAAGGTAACCTTTTTTTTTATCAGCTGGAATAGCCTCGGTTATGCTGTGGGAACAAACAAGCCCAATTCACAGTGTCTTAACACAACAAATGTTTATTTCTCACAGAGACTACATGTCCAAAATGTGTTGATAGGAAAGCTCATGTACTTCCATGATCCAGAGGCAGTAGTGGGAAGAGAGCGGCTAATTATGCACTGGCATTTAGAGTTTTATTGGTCAAAACAAATTTCAAAAGGGGGACTGTGAAGTGCAATATTGTCTCTACCCAGAGGGAGAGGAAAATTGGAAGGTATGTGAGTAGAATTAATGAATGTTATACCTTGCTACTGTTTTAAAGGAGTATAAGATATCTAGGTAAAGAAGTATTTGAAAGTATTTCAGAGAAAGGAAGAGCATGGGTAAAGGCAGTAAGCTGTTACGTAGTGTGATAATTTCAGGGAACTGTAATTCAAAGTAGTTAGAGCACAGTGTTGGTGTGGGATAAAGATAGGTTAAAGAAATCAGGGGGAGAACAGGGGTTAGATTATACCAAACTATGGGATTAGAACTCCATCCTAAAGGACATAGGGAAACACTGAATGATATAATATACTTCAGGGGAATTTCTTGATTAAACTTAATTTATGAAAGATTATTCTAGAAGCAATATGGGGCATGGTTTGAGGGGAGCAAGACCAGAAACAGTAAGACCAATTATGATACTAATGCAGTAATGCTGGTGAGACTGCAGATGAAGGCAATGACAGAGAAAATGATAAAGGAGCGGAACAAAAGGTAAAAAGGCAGGGAAAGTATATACATGGGGGTGGACTCCAGGGCACAGAGGGAGCCATGGTGGAAGAGAGGACACTTCATTCACTGAGATTATAGTAGAGGTAATGGCATGAACAGTGTCCATACCTTAGCATGTGTGTGTGGATTTATGTTTGGTGTGTGTATAAATGTGGATGTTGGTGTGTGAGAGAATGAGTTAGAATAAGCTTGCAAGTGAGCGATTCTTACCTAGTGATCTGTATTTTCTTTGTGACTTGGGAAACCAGCTCATGTGCCTAGAATAAAATGAAGGTGGGTGGAAGACTTCAGGAGAGCCCTGAAAATTGTAATGGCTACTGAGTCCAATGGGACATACAGCTAACTTGGGGTAGAGAGGTTGTTGGGAAGTGTTAAGCCCTTGTAAAAAATCAGATTATACATTTTACTGCAGAAATTGCTTTGGGAAGCTCAGTTGCTTTTTCTTTAAATTGTTTAGAGTTCAGTAATAATTAAAAAATATACATTTGAAAAGACTTTTGTGTGTGCTGCTAAAATTAGAGGGACTCATGAGATACAATCTAATTCCAGCCCCCAAATTTTGGTTAATGTTATAATAAGGACCCAATTATTTCATAACAGAGGGAATACAGATTTCTAAAGTAGTTACCCAGTGCTTTTATAAAATCATTCTTTTATGATATGCTTTAAAAGAAAGTAGTATAATGTGACAGTGAAGTTTAATTTTTGAAAAGAAGATAGAGAAATGATTGGAATACTTGTGATATTTTTCTTAAAGGTTTTAGAAGACATTGCTTGGAATGTTCTATAATTTAAAGGATATTCTAAAATCATGTTTCTTGTTTGCCATTGTGTATTAGACCTGGGGTTAAAATATTTGGGATGCTGGGGTGCCTGGGTGGCTCAGTTGGTTGAGTATCTGCCTTTGGCTCGGGTCATGATCCCGGGGTCCCGGGGAGCCTGCTTCTCCCTCTCCCTGTGCCTCTCCCCCTGCTTGTGCTCTCTCTCTCTCTCTCTCTCTCTGTGGTCCAATGAATAGGTAAATAAATCTTAAAAAAAAAAGAAAATATTTGGGGTGCTATATTTATTATTGCAAATTAAAGTTTTGAGACCTTGATGATAGAATCAGTTTTATATAATATCAGACTATTTCCCTAAGAGAACCATACTGATCTGCTCAATGCATGTGGTGGGAATATAGATACATATCGATATAGATATATAAATTTCATATATGTAAACTTAGTACAACTTAGTACAACTCCTGAGGAGGGAATAACAAAGAATTGATGGGAATGTTTACCTGAAAAGATTCCTTTCTTAGATTGGAGGGTAATTTGGAACTCTTGACAAAGATTAGAGATAACAGTTATTAGTTTTAAAACTGGGGACTAGTGTTTAAGCCTGTTTGTTTGTTTGTTTACAAGCCTACCATTTTACAAAGTATTTTTGAGTACTGACTATGTGCATATACTGTAAGCATGAAAGTGGTACTCTCTTACTCCAGAATTTCCAATGCTTACTGACAATAAAAGAGCATGTGTAATTTGGCATCTTAAAAGTTAGTCCAAAGAGACTTTTGTTGAAGCCACTTAGCTGATACTAGAAGATAGTTAGGAGACCAAATAGTAGCAGAAAAGTGTACAATTTATATGTAATTAAGTTAATACAGGCATGGTGTATTCTGAGGCAATTCTTTTTTTTTTATTCTTATGTTAATCCCCATACATTACATCATTAGTTCTAGATGAAGTGTTCCATGATTCATTGTTTGTGCATAACACCCAGTGCTCCATGCAGAACATGCCCTCCTCAATACCCACCACCAGGCTAACCCATCCTCCCACCCCCCTCCCCTCTAGAACCCTGTTTGTTTTTCAGAGTCCATCGTCTCTCATGGCTCGTCTACCCCTCCGATTTCCCCCGCTTCATTCTTCCCCTCCTGCTACCTCCTCCTTCTTCTTTTTTTTTTCTTAACATATATTGCATTATTTGTTTCAGAGGTACAGATCTGAGATTCAACAGTCTTGCACAATTCACAGCGCTTACCAGAGCACATACCCTCCCCAGTGTCTATCACCCAGTCACCCCATACCTCCCACCCACCCCCACTCCAGCAACCCTCAGTTTGTTTCCTGCGATTAAGAATTCCTCATATCAGTGAGATCATATGCTACATGTCTTTCTCTGTTTGACTTATTTCGCTCAACATAATACCCTCCAGTTCCATCCACGTCGTTGCAAATGGCAAGATCTCATTCCTTTTGATGGCTGCATAATATTCCATTGTATATATATACCACATCTTCTTTATCCATTCATCTGTCGATGGACATCTTGGCTCTTTCCACAGTTTGGCTATTGTGGACATTGCTGCTATAAACATCGGGGTCTGAGGCAATTCTTATACTCTAAGAACCTTAACTATAAAGGAGCTCATTTACTTTTTAAATGAATGTGAGTTCATCAAGTTCAGGGGTTTTTTGTTGTTGTTGTTTATAAAAACCATTTGGACTATGTGGCACCTCAACAGTGAGTAACTGATTAAACCAGCATGACGTAATGATACTAATAACATTTAATGAACACTTACTATGTGAGAAGTACCATGTTAAGTACTTTATATATTTAGCTATTTAATTTAGTGCTCACAACAGCAGTATGGGATAGGTATTCTTACTGTGCCCATTTTAAAAATGGTAAGTGAGCTTAGCTTGGTAAACAACTAAAAAGTGATAGAACCAGAAAGGAAATGAATTAAAATAGACAGGAGTTAACCCACTCGTTATCAGGCTCATATTCTATAAGAGATAGAGAATATATAGTAATATTTTAAAACTCAAAGCATTTTTAATTGTTTATGATAACTAACCATAAAATATGGATGATTTAACTTAATGTTCTGAAAAAAATTTACTCAAAAACATGTATTGAATGTCTGCTGTGTGTCACAGTTTTCTAATTGTTTCAGACTCTTAGTATATAAAAACAAAGATCCCTACTCTTGTGGTACTATGTTCTAGTGGATGGAATTCAGAAAATAAACAGTAGAGTAAATTTAATATGAAAAGCCTTTTTAAATATTTTTAAATAGTTGATAGATCTAAGGTAAAACAACTTTTTTGTTGCAACGCTGATAATCTAATTGTTCCCATCATTTTGTAGTGCCTACATCAAATCATGAAAAGGATGAAATATTGATTGTTATGAAATGGTCATTTATTTTAAATAATTTGAGATTAAATATTATTGACCATTATTTTGAAGACATCTCTCCCTCTCCTCTCTCCTTATACACTGAAGATGCAGCATTCCAAGAAAGCAATTAAATGTCATTTGTCATTTGTAAAAGACTTTGTTTTGTAAAATTACAGACCTGGGTGATCTATGGCTAAAATGGAATGAAAGTGAATTAAAAAAAAGTCTTCAGACATATTTTTCCTATGAAGGACACATTTAAGTGTAGTCTTAGCACCTTAAAATAACAGGAAATGCTCATTATTGAAGATACAATTTTGCTCTTTTTGTTCAGCTATATCGGTGTGTCTTTATGTGTGTATGAGAAAAAGAGGAAGGGAGAGAATAAATATGAGAATGACTTATGTCAGGGCTTCCTAGGTGCCTTTGTTACAGTAGCTTTTCAGAATCCTACCACTGTAATTCCAGGAATTGGCTAAACATTTACATATATTGTTAAAATAGAGGACGCTATTTCGTCTTGGGTTTCTTTTACTTTCTCTTAAGTGATCTTAGTATTGCTATACAGGATCTTCCTTTATGTATGCATCTCCAGTAGACCACTCTGCACCGTTCTATTTGGTAGGCCATCTTTCATTAATTCTCTCTTATGAATGCTTTAAGGAGTTAAATAATGGATACGGTTTATGGACTTCATTATTGAAGTAGTAATGATGTGGTACAGTGAAAAATTAAAATATTCAATCACAAGGTCATTAACAAAGAATGAAAAATAATTAAGGGCAAAAGAAGAAAGAAGGTTTTAAGATAAAATCCAAACTTGAGTATAAGAAGACCACTGTGTTGAGAGAGACATTGGAAAGATTTTTGCAGAGGATAGAATCTGTATTAAAAGAAAAGTCCAGTTCTGTTAGTAACTAGATTTTTGCATAGAAGAGATAACATGGAAGTCTTTGGCATGGGCTGTAAAAAGGTTTTGGAAAAAGTAGAGGTAACAAAAGTGACAAATGTAGTTAAAAAATGAAGAGTAAGGA